CCCCCCCCCGGTACCTACTATATAGGGTACTAAAGACCGCAAGGGCCTAGGTAGTAGGTACCTGGGGGGTGGGGGTAGTTGTGTAGGAGGCATTTGGGGCTTTCAGCGAGCGTCCAGGCCACAAGATACCTTAATTTTCGGCAGCGTCCACAGAACTCCATCAAACCACACAGAAGCCCGGAAAAACCTTCCACGCTATAGCTCAGTAGCTCGAGAATACTCAGCAGAAACATCTTTGTCAACGCTGGTAAGTTTTATCACAGAGCGCGGAAGCACAAGTTCTCTCGGAATATACTTTGCATTGGAAATAGAGGGTTCTTGCCATATGAGATGCTTCAGAATTCAGTACTTAAGAAATCCTGGGCCAAGGTGAAGATCGACGTCGATCGGGTGCCACAACTGCACACACTTTTGAAGTTTCTCGTGCTCGGGGCGGAGCATTGCTGTCATCCAGCTCGGGGGAGGTCTTATCCACTCCATCTTGGTCATTCCTCCGGAGGTAAGCGGCTTTCGGGCAGATCCCTTCCCCCCCAATGTCGATCAGGTTCATGGGATCCACAGCCCGGTTTTGACACGTGCTCCCGCCCTTTCGGACTACAGAAGCCGGATGGGAAGTTCCGAATGAGCATGAGACCATCATGGGCATTTTTCGATTGCTTCCAGCAGCAGGAGTGTCAGTATAGTTGGCGTAGTTGTGCAATTGGTATCTTGTTGGTGCCCTTTGCTGCGCAGCTCCGAAGTGCAGCAGTGCAGAAAAGTCCTACAAGTCCTAGTTACGGCTCAAGTTTCAGGTTCAAGGGCAGAGATGCCAGACGTCAGAGACCTTATCAGCAAGATGGAGAAGCTGGTCAGAGGCTGCCAAGGTTCGGCAAGCTCAGCGGCAAGCTCCGATGAGGTCCGCGTGCTCCGGAAGGTGGTCTTAGTGCCCCCACAGTTCCGCAAGGTCTCCGACTTGGTCTGGCCCGAAGAATTTGCAGAAATCCAGCAGAGGCCACAGACCAAGTTGGAGCAGACAGACACCGTGGCGGCCTTTATCCCAAAGCTAGCCCTTCCAGCTGGGTGCCAGGAAGACTTGGGGCGTTTGCTTGTGGGCCTAGCGGCAGACCCCCGAAAACAGCATGACGTCCGCGACCTGAGGGTTGTTGGCCTGAAGGTGCCGGAGGCTGCGGCGAGATTGAAAATTCAGGACCATCCAGACTGTGGTGTCCTCCAGCTCGCTTTGGCCTTTAAGTTCGTGCAGGGCCGCGTGCAGGACATGGTGCTGGAGCCGTCGGCTTTGAATGAGGCCCTGCTCGGCATCCTTGCCTCTAATGGAGTGCTGCAGGAGGCCTGCCACATTCACTGGGAGAGGACGACGGTCCAAATCAGAGAGCCCGGCCGGCTTCGGGTCACCATCCGCACAGAAAGTGCAGAGAGTGCGGAGGCCCTGAAGCAAGCCCTGCAGACTTGCAAGCTTGAGAAGAAGCTGCAGGAGATGAAGATCGAAGAGTTTGTTCGGACGGCCTCTGCCACAACCTCCGTGCAGTTAGCCTATGAGTCTGGCAGGAATGATAGCCACCGTTCCGACGTAGCATACTTCCAGTTCTCGCTGGAGGAGATCAGATGCATCGGCGGTCGGATCCTAGACATCATCGACCCGAGCCGGGCCAGCATCGACCCCATGTTCTGCGACTGGGTTCTTGTTTGTTAAGGGATTTAATTTAAGTTACCATGATTAATAGGGATCTATAGTAAATAATTTATTATGGTAACTCAAATAAAATCCCCCAACAAGAGCCCAGGCGAAGAGACGCTTTTCCCATCAGAGAAGCCAGGCCAGGAGGCTGTACTGCCTGTAGCATGGCCCATTCCGAGTCGTATCGCACGGGGGCGCCATGTCAACTCGGCGCCCCCCTCTGCTGGTGCACCTCGCTGGATTCCTACTGCGCTAGAGCCAGCTACTTTTGATGGGCTTCGGCTTGCCAGCGAGGTGAGTGGGATCCCATGGACAGGGCCACGCACATTGACGAATCCATTGTACCAACGCCTGGGCGAGCTGTTGACGGCCATGCGGCCACTCTTTGCGCAGTTGGCTCCGGAAGATGGCACTTTTGGCCTGCACCAGCCACTGGATGCACGATCCAAGGTACTGATCAAGGCCCAGGTTTATGAGGTGGGCAGTGGCCAGGAGATTCTTGGCGAGTTGCACCGTGAAGGAATCTCCCGAGATCAGATTCAGATGGTTGGCCTTTACTACCCCCTCGTCGATGATGGGCTGGCAGGTGGCGACCTTGAGATCACCGCCGTGCTGACTGGTGGCTGCGGGTCACAGTACCCCAAGTCGAAGACCATAAATGTGCAAGCTGGCACGGCCATAGCCTTTGACAACGGCAAGGCATACCATCGCATGACTGCTCTTCGTACAGCCTGCACTTCCTCGAGTCCCAGGGGCCGGAGGCTTGTTGTCGCCTTCTTCGTGCTTTGCGACCTGGAACCTCCCGGGCTGCCCTGCACCGACCGCATTTGTGTCAACTATTCCGACAAGGCCCGAGTGATGGTTCGAAGGAACCTCGGTATGCTGCCCAAGCACATCCAGCTCAATATCGAGCAGTTTCTCACCGGCGGAATCTCCTACACGCAGCAGCGCTTTGAGTCCTCCCGTCAAGTGAGGGCTCGCGACGTATCCCAAGAAGGACTTACGTTCCGCACCATGGATTGAGCGGTGTGCACCTTAAGGACTAAATGACCCATGCATACAACTGCAAGCATATATATATATGTATATATGTGTGTATATATATATATACCCTAATCGAAATCATCAGTGTCAGCACACCCGGAGAGGTCCCCTTGCCATGGCGTTACAGGCCGAAGGCATGCACCCCCCCACTCAACCATGGCATTCCTGCTCTTGCGGCTCATCGACTGGGAAATTTCCGAAGCTTTCGCCAGTTTTGTGGGTCATAGCGAGGAGGGTTCAGGATTTTGGGTGCGCAGTTAAATCCTGAACCCTAAACCCTAGGCCTCTGTCAGTTGTCCTCAAGAGAAGCTTCTCTGTGGACGGAGCCGCCTGCCGCATGTACAGCTGGCAGCCTGCAGGACTCGGACGAAAGAGGGTGTTTTCGGTTTGTTTTTGGGCGCGCCAGGGTGGAGAAGGAGGATTTTGGGGTACTCGTTCCGGTTGGCTCTATAAAACTCTGCTGCGCTTGCTGGGCATTTCTGGAATCATGATTGATTGTTGACATGCTGCTTGTTGGGCTTCATGTGGCTGCCAGTAGCGGGCACCGAACTCTGTGTTCATCCCTGCATGCCAGACTGCATGTTGCATTTTGCGCTGAGTGACGCCCACTGAGCAAGAGGCGTCCTTTTTGCCTAGTATAATACCATAGAGATTGTTTCATGTCAATCTGTTGGTGCTTAACGCGTCCTTGAAGGTAATATGTTTCGCCTGTGCATATGTGCAAGAGATGTTCTGTGCCGAGGATGGGAACCTGGTCTATGACAAGGCATAAGACATGCTTTGCAGATTGCAGTGCGCACAAAGGCGGTGCAGTAGATTGCAGTGTGTCTGACAACCACCACACAGGACATGGGGCTGCTACAGTTCGTGTGAAGGTTTGGCCACAGTTGGCAGACCCACTGTGTGGAGCATTTCCACGAATGGCTGTGCCGATGCGACGGGCTTGAGGCAGCAGAACCAGCCTAAGCTGCAGTATTCCTGAAACTGTTAACTGGCTTCACAAACTTTGCGTGGTGTACGGGAGACCCATTTGATGGCCTCGACAACTTCCCGTCAATCGACAGGCATGTGCCTGATTTCTTTGCAACACACTGCTTGCGACAAGCTGGCAGTGATACAGTTAAAGTTAGCCTTACAGCCTCAGCTCGCGCGGAAGAATTTTCGCATCTATGCCTTCTGCGCGGATGCAGAAACTCAGCTTTGTCAGATCTGCCGGTCGGGGAGCAGAAAACAGCCCACCGTGCATCAATGTGCATCAGGACCTGGCAGAAGGCGGTTGTCTTTCTTCGGACCATTCATACAAGAGGCATGCAGCCCCAAGTTCCTGTTTTCAGAAGCTAGAAGCCATCGTGCGTTGAGGTGTCCTTGCCTCGCTGTGTGATGCTGGGAGCACGCAAACGCCTCGGCAGAGTGACAGTGCATTACGCCAGAAACTGCTCACGGGGTCGCTTCTCCATGCTTCCCCTCCTGATAAGCCCCGCAGGAAGTCTTCTTCCATAGAGTCCAAGCCCTTCAGGGAGCCCTTGATTGCAGCCTAAAACTTCTGTGACTCTTACGATATCCCTGCAGAGGCCCGATGCTTTCTCTTTCAATGCTCTCGTCAGCTCTCACGATCGGGCTGGCCTTTGGCGTGGTGTCGGGGAGCCTACGCAGACCCAGTAAGCCTCGGGGTGCTGAGGAGTGCCGGAGCCAGTGCGCCCCCCCCCTCCCCCCCACCCCCACAATTCTAGGGCTTCAGAGATTCTACTGGTATGATATTCTGCTCGGAATTCCTGTTTTGTTTTTGTGACATGAAGTTTGAATCTTACCAGTCTAAGCTAGACTATGTTTCATTTCCCAGTTCATGCCACGCCCAACTCATAGACCCCACGATACGCCTCATAGCAATTTGTTATTCTATGTCATGGCATTCAAAAGACTGGGTCGCGAACGCCTCTATAGGAAGCGTCATTTTCCCAGTCAGGTTGGGGATATGGATGAGGTTATGGGTTTAGGTAGTTGCTTTGGTTGTTGGGTCTGTATTGGATAAGGTTAAGGATATGGGAATTTGTCATGGTTTCGGGCCTGTATCGGATAAGGTTATTAAGGGTTTGGGTGGTTGTTTTGGTCTGGAAGTGTTGGTGTGAGGAGGGCTTGTTTTAGAATTGGTGTAGAAGTGCAGGGTGGGGGTCAGGGTGTGGGCGTAAGATGAACTGGGAAAGGAACCTTGCTTGCTGTTGGATCTCTTCGGCTGAAATCTCTTTGATCCCATAGGGCCCGCTCAAAGGGTCCTGATTCGCATCATGCCATGTCCAAGTGTGCTTGTCGAACTAAGAAGTGCGGACCACCAAAAGGCGACGAGCGAGCTGGAACAGAGACGCCCACCACTTCTTTCCCAGACCTGGCTTGACCCTGACCCTAAACCCTAAACTTCCTAAACCCTAAACAAAAACCCTGATCTTGAGGCTTTAAAGGTGCTCCGGGCCATGAGAGGACGCCTCTTGGAGGTGCTCGCCGAATGCTTTCAGGGCTGAGTGGCGAGTAGTGACTGAGTGTTTCGGTGGCTTCAGGAACTTCCCCTTACAGTGGCCTGGCAGAAAAGCTAAGGGCTGAAAGAGGCAACGCAAAATCAACAGCTGCAAGAACGACGGCTCAGGCTCGGAAAACGTGAAAGCCCTGGTTTCCACAAGGCCCCGGCAGGCCCAACACAGCACAGGATTCAGTGGCCCGGAGAGATCGTAGAACCCATGTCGAAGCTGCAAAGATCCATCGCAGAACTGAGTTAAAACCGTCTCGAACCCTCATAAAATCCATTACAGAAACAACGGGACAACCTGCAAACCCTGCAACCCGCAAGAAAGAAATCCGAAGTGAGGCGGAAACCATGGGCTTCAATGCAGCTCTGGGGGCAGGGCGGAGTTCTAAAGGCTCGGTGTGTTTTTTTTTAAGATGGTACGTTGGTAAGCCGGAGCTCAAGTTCCACGATCTTTACTAGGTTTCTCGTACAGCAGTTCCCTTTGACTTGCGTGCCAGAAACCAAGAGTGTCTGGTGGGCCAAGCCGGCAGCGGGTGGATGCTCAAGTGTAAAGGGTTTCGGTTTTGAAAATGCAGTAGAGCTCAGTTGGAGGAGACTCAAGTTGAAGGGTTGGGGTCTACTTAGCTTTGAATCGAGGCTACAGGCGAAGGGTTTCAGGATTTTGGGTTTGATTGAAGGTTTCGGGATGGCTAGTGTAAGGATTTGGGGTTTTGTCGGGATGAGCCGAAACTGACCACTCGAATTTAAACTAGGTGCTTTGCACCCCGATTTGGGTTTGCCAGTGTTAAAATGCGTATGGATTTTGTTCCAAGTAGTGTTGGTATGAGTATGAGAAGTAATATTAGCATCCGTATTAGCATTTTTGCTCAGTATTAGTACTTAGTCTTAATAATACTATTACATGATTCATGTAAGATTGCTTAGTATTAGTACTTAGTATTACGTAAGAGTTGGTAAGGGCCACTTCGCTTTGGACGGCTCTTGAGCTTGGCATCTGTGTTGGGCTTTGTGGTCGCGCCGTAAGCTCCGCCACCATGTAAGGTTCTGCTTTCCAGCATCTGGGCAATGATCAACACCATCATCATATCATATCATATGATATGATATCATATCATATCATCTCATATCATACCATATCATATCATATCATGTCATATCATACCATATCATACCATATCATCATAATCATCATCATCATCATCATCATCCGAACACTACAGGCAAGCACCGAGGGCCTTGAGAGCCGTGCTTGACTCGAGGTTGGGCCGCGACGCTACGCCTGCTCACAGAGCCTCCAGCTCGGTTCAACATGTCCCTGGCCCAAGCACCCCTGCTTTGAAGACTTGGCATTTTTGAGTCCTGGTAAGGAGCATATAGTATAGTCTAGTATAGTATAGTATAGTATAGTATGGTATAGTATAGTATAGTATAAGAAGCTATCTATAGGCATGGTTTGATACTCTGGCTTGGGCTGAAGGACCTACGCGCGCTCAGCAGCTGGATGCAACGAAACCTCCACAAGCCGGATCCCACTGAGGATGCGGCAGCTCCAGATCACCGTAGATGTGATCTCGCTAAGTAAGAGGCCTCAGCTGAGTGGTTAATTTATCACTTCTTTTGCATGTCCTGAACATTCAGCTACCTGCGGCTTCTGGAACTCAATTCTCAAGGCCCGCGAGAGCCCTTTGCACAACAGCACAGTTTAGACAAGCAAAAATCACCTGTTCCTGCAAGTTCTGAGATGCTTCTACAGACCCAAATCAGGATAAAGCAGACAGGCGGCATGGCGAGCCATGAACTTTCGACACCGACTCTGCGCATCGCTTTTCAGTTTCACCAATGACAGCCGGAAGCGGCGATGAGTGAGGACTCGTGCGGGGTGGTAGAGGGTAGGATGCCAGTGTTGAGGAGGAACCATGCAAGCCCTGCCATGTGATCTCTGACAGATAAATAACTGGAGTGTGCACTAGCTTGCAGCAGCTGTGAACGACGCTTTGCCTGTGTGTCTGGAAACACACACACGTCGGCAGAACCCTTCGTTCCAGTGTGGGCGCAACTGCTTAGCATAGTCAGTAATCAGGACAGTCAGCAAGATAGAATGCATGGGAATGGCCAAAGTCAGATGGTGTTGAGATCGCGCATAAAACCCCACTTGCAATCACGGCTGCAAGCCATGCAAAGTGGTTTGTCCATCGAGTCCGAGTGGACCACATGCCAGATACCATGCATCTTGCGCCACACTTGGCAGGTGACCTGCGCCGTCTGCCTGGAGGAAATCCTTCCCTCCGAGCGGCGCTCGCAAGCGGGTCCGGAAACCGGATGTGTCCATACTTTCCACTGGGAATGTATCCGGAAGCTCGGCTTGGATCTTACCCTAAACCCCCAGGTACCTACTACATAGGGCCCTGGGGGCTCTAGTGCCCTATACAGTAGGTACTGTACCGGGGGCTTAGGGTTAGTCATGGAATGGATAGTGCAAGGCGCCACAGCAGCGCACCTACCGAGGACATGGTTTCGGGTGAAAGCTTCCTGCCCAATTTGCAACACATCTCTCCTGGAAGAGGGGATCTTCGAAGTGAACCCTGATTCGGGAGGCTTTGCTGCAAGAGCAGGTTACTATCGGATCATATATACCCCCACCCCCCTCCCCCCCAGCCTTTTCCGCGCTTGTTGCAGATATTGCATGGGCTCGGGCTCGGTGGCGGATCGGCCGGGTAGGAGTGGTGCCGAGCATATCTCAGGCGAACAAACCTACCACCGCATTCGGCCTGAAGGTGTTCGAGGCTCACTGCATGCAGCTTCCGCGGCTGGCAATGCTGCCGATGTACAACGCCTCATCGCAAGCGGTGCGAATGTGAACCGGACCACGCTTGGTGGAGTGGCACCCCTGCACATGGCAGCACACAGTGGTCATGCAGAGGTCATCGCGAGACTACTGGCAAGTGCTGCTGACGTGAATCAGCTGGCACCGGGAGGGACGACAGCCTTGTACATAGCCGCCCAAGGCCAACATGCTGATGCCGTTGCTCGCCTTCTAGCGGGCGGAGCTGCCGTAAACCTACCGGTGGATGGAGGTGGTACTGCCTTGCACGTCGCGGCACAGAACGGCCACACAGAAGCCGTAGCCTGGCTTCTTGCAGGCAGTGCAGAAGTTGACGCGGTGATGGAAGGTGGCATCACCCCTCTGTTCATGGCTGCACAAAGCGGTCACATCGAGGTGATCGTTCGCTTGCTGGCTCAGGGTGCTTCCGTGAATGTGACAGCTGAGAATGGTGCGACATCGCTGCATTACGCATCTCTACATGGCCATTCCGAGTCTGTGGCGCGTCTGCTCGTTGCACGCTCCGATGTCAACGAAACCACGCGCAGTGGTGGGACCGCCCTCCATGTTGCCGCGCAGAGTGGGCACACAGAAGCAGTGGCTTGGTTGCTGGCCGGCCGTGCAGATGTGCACAAGGACAGGCCCTTTACATTCGCCCAGTTTGCGCAGAAAGTATTCTCAAGAGCGGTACTTGTGCCACAGCAAGCCTGAAGCTGCTAGGTCTGCACTGTATGCCAGCCATCGCTTAGAAAAGAAATTCGATGGTATTGGAAGTCATGGTGCAGTTTGCAAAACCAGAACCCAAAACTCACTCGCGTCCCTGGGACTTGCTCTCCGATCTTTCAGGGCGCAGTTTCCCTGCAGTGCGCTGAGCTAAAGTTGAATAGGCTTAAGCAGCACGAGATAGGATGGTTTCCCTGTGCTCGGACTCCTGGAACGGGACAGGAGATGGTGGGTGGATCCACAGCGCTCTACCTCGCCTCGCTTGGAGGTCATTCGGAGGCCGGGGACATGAAAGGGCTAGGTGGGCCGAAATGGTTTAGGGGCTCGGGTGACGGGGTCTAGGACTTAGTGTGACAAGAATTCGGGTTTGGGTGTTACCCAGCGATCAGAACATGGGCTGTATTCATGGCGTGGGGGGTCTGGTGTTGTGAACGGATCTGGCGACAACTTATTAGCTGCCTCCACCAAACCCCTGAATCTGCGAGTTTTTCGAGGTTATTGCCTGGCTCCTCGCCAAGCAGGCAGGAGGGCTGGGCATGGGTCTGGCAATACATCACTGTAGCTCCCCTTATAGCAGGGCATTGCGAAGGCATGAGCAGCTTCCAGTACAATGCCGATTTCCTGACTGCAGGGCTTCCCGACAGACAGAAACCCGGTGAACAAGAAAGTTTAGTGTTACCGTGCATCTGCTTGAACCAGAGAGCTGCACTTTGTCGTGCATTAAGCAAATCGCCAAACACAAACTACTAAGACAGTACCAACGTCCGGCTTGTTATATGGGGCCGACCTCCGCCAGTCCGCAAGCATAGAAACGAGAAGCTCGTTTGCTTCCGAGGCTCAAACCCTAGACTAAGTCTGTGCCTCACAGCAACAGAAAAGGAGCACGCATGCGAGCATCTCAGTTTTCAGTGAATGGCCGGTTTGGGAGCATACCCCGTTGTCACGGTCGCCAGTACAGCCCCGTAAGAGCCTGTAGAGTCCGCTACAGATCCCTTCGCCATGCGCTTCGTGGTTATGAGGGTGATGGCTTCGATGCTAGGTTTGTGCACAGGCCTGGCAGAGATCACAGACTTGATCATCAGCTTGCCTCCACTGGTAAGTTCAACTACGTCGTCAAGCACGTCCACCAGCAGCACATCAACATCCAGTGCATCAGCTACTTCGACAGCCAGCAGCAGCACATCAATATCAGTTTCGAGTACGACATCATCACCGGCCAACAGCAACTCCACATCAAATTTGTGGACCACCATGTCATCCACAACGATCACCACATCGGTCTCGACAACAACCACCACCTCATCATCAACGTCACGCACCGCATCGACATCCGTCAGCAGCATGTCAACATCGAGTGCATCAGATACCTCGACATCCAGCAGCAGCACATCTGCATCAACTTCGCGTACCACATCATCTTCGTACAGCACCACCTCCACATCAACTTTATCGACCACGATGTCATCCACAACGGTGACCAAGTCGGTCACCACCATAACGACCACTTCATCTTCAAGTTCAGCTACAACGTCAAGCACGACATCGACATCCACCAGCAGCACATCAACATCCAGTGCATCAGCTACTTCGACAGCCAGCAGCAGCACATCAATATCAGTTTCGAGTACGACATCATCACCGGCCAGCAGCAACTCCACATCAAATTTGTGGACCACCATGTCATCCACAACGATCACCACATCGGTCTCGACAACAACCACCACCTCATCATCAACGTCACGCACCGCATCGACATCCAGCAGCAGCACATCTGCATCAACTTCGCGTACCACATCATCTTCGCACAGCACCACCTCCACATCAACTTTATCGACCACGATGTCATCCACAACGATGGCCACATCGGTCACCACCATAACGACCACTTCATCTTCAAGTTCAGCTACAACGTCAAGCACGACATCGACATCCACCAGCAGCACATCAACATCCAGTGCATCAGCTACTTCGACAGCCAGCAGCAGCACATCAATATCAGTTTCGAGTACGACATCATCACCGGCCAGCAGCAACTCCACATCAAATTTGTGGACCACCATGTCATCCACAACGATCACCACATCGGTCTCGACAACAACCACCACCTCATCATCAACGTCACGCACCGCATCGACATCCGTCAGCAGCATGTCAGCATCGAGTGCATCAGCTACTTCGACATCCAGCAGCAGCACATCTGCATCAACTTCGCGTACCACATCATCTTCGTACAGCACCACCTCCACATCAACTTTGTCGACCACGATGTTTTCCACAACGGTGACCAAGTCGGTCACCGCCATAACGACCACTTCATCTTCAAGTTCAGCTACAACGTCAGAGTCGTCGACGACCATGTCAACCACTACGATGACAAGTGTCACAGCTACCTCCGGAGATGCAGCCGCTTTGGCAGCCCTCTCGAGTCAGTTGGTGGGAGACCTGGAAGCAAACCAGATGGAGGACACCATGCAGCTGTTTCGGTTGTTGGGCTCGGGCTCAAACGACGGGAACTCGTCGCATCCAGAATCCTACGGCATGCTACAAAGCGTGACCCGCAACGTAGGGACGTCGATCCACACCAGTCTTCTACGAGTTGGGCCCAGCGAAAGAACGGCAGGCTCAGTCCAAGTGTCTGCCGGAAAGTCTCGCGTGGATGTGCCAACAGCACTGTTCACATCGGAGGCATACCCGGGGTTTGCAGTGGTCAGCATAAGCGATTCTATGCCAGGGGACGAGATTAGTGAGACCCTCAGTGCTTCTACACGGGCCTCTGGAAATGGTTTGGCCACACAACCCATCAGTATCAAGATAAGTCTGTGGGAGCACGGGATCAAGGGAATGCTGCGAGCGCCTCTCAACTTCACAATTCCGATTACAGATGCCAAAGCTCGTGACTTGGCATGTGTGTATTGGGATGAGGAACAGGATGGATGGTCGAGTGAGGGCGTAACGACTGTAGCAATTGCTGATGGCAGTGTGCGATGCACCACTACTCACCTCTCACTTTTTGCTGCGATCGCAAAAGCCGCTGTGACCACTTTGGTATGCAGCAATGCTGCCGCCATTTTCTCTCTGAAAGGCCTCCAGTCTCTGCTGCACTGGCACTGGGCCGTGCAAGCTCCGGCACTGCGCACAGCTGCAGAGGCATCCATTCCGCCCGAGCCCATGAACAGAGCAACTCCTCGTCCTCAGCGCCGGTCACAAATGGGCCATTGCTTGCACCCCCTCTGCGCACTTGCAGATTCGTGCGCAGGTGCTGAAGCTTCTAATCCATTGGAGCCCACGAGAAGCCAGCCACAGCTGCATGAACCAACTCCTGCCCATCCGAAGCGAAGATCACAAATGAGCTCGGATTCGTGTGCAGCATCGGAGGCAGAGGCTTCTATTCCACTGGGGCCCATGAGCCAGACACCGCCAGCTGAACCATCTCCCGCCCTCCCCAAACGGAGGCCCCAAATGGGCCCAAGCTTATACCCATTGGCGCGGACCTCGCAACGCGCTGTCTCACAGAGCCTGGAGTCTGGCGAGGTGAGCTGACACCGACTCTAGCCAATAGCCAGAAACTGGTAACTTCTTGGCCATCTAGTATTATTTTCTGAATCTCTCTGTGTCAGCTGTATCCCGTTTGATGCAACTTGCTCGGCCTCGGTCTATGCTGGGTTCAAGAAGCTGGTACTATAATAATAATATTAATTTTAAATAACTATACTTATTGCTATTATATGACTTAAGATGCAAATAAATTCAAACCCCACCGAACGTGTTTTCTGAGTGCTTGCTGGCAACCGGCATAGATTCCTCGAAGGCGGCTGTGCAAACTCACTAGACGAGTCACTCGCCAATAGCCAGGAGTCGGCTTCAGGGAACGTAGTTCGAAGGCAGTGCTGGGCCCTGTATGTCATATCTGGCACTAGAGGGAAATATGCATGGTGCTATCGAGCAAGGTGGATTAAAGAGAATTGGGCTTCTCAAAGGGTCTCAAGGACCCACTGCCTCGTTTGAACTTTTGGTGCTTCCAGTTCATGTACCCACATCAGATTTTGACCTGTGTGTGCGACTACAGGGGATACAAGCGCATTGAGGCTTTGTTGAGCACTTCTGTTATCATCAGGTTGCTAACTCAGTTTCCAGTCTTGTGGTTTTTCCACAGGTACCGTAAAACTTTTTGGCCGTCTAAGATTACTTTTTATCACGCTGCACAGACGCAGAATTGCTCTGTGCTGCGCACGAGATCTCGCGCCTTGACGGCTGCTGCCTCGGTCTATGCTGTGTTCAAGAAACTGGTACTAGAATAGTAATAATGTCTTCAATAAGAATAGTACATATTAATACATATTAATATCAATAAAAGATGCAAACAAATTCAAACCCCACCCAACGTTTTTTCTGAGTGCTTGTTGGCAACCGGCATGGATTCCTCGAAGGCGGCTGTGCAAACTCACTAGACGAGTCACTCGCCAATAGCCAGGAGTCGGCTTCAGGGAACGTAGTTCGAAGGCAGTGCTGGGCCCTATATGTCATATCTGGCACTAGAGGGAAGTATGCATGGTGCTATCGAGCAAGGGTGGATTAAAGATACTTGGGCTTCTCAAAGGGTCTCAAGGACCCACTGCCTCGTTTGAACTTTTGGTGCTTCCAGTTCATGTACCCACATCAGATTTTGACTTGTGTGTGCGACTACAGGGGATACAAGCGCATTGAGGCTTTGTTGAGCACTTCTGTTATCATCAGGTTGGTAACTCAGCTTCCAGTCTTGTGGTTTTTCCACAGGTACCGTAAAACTTTTTGGCCGTCTAAGATTACTTTTTATCACGCTGCACAGACGCAGAATTGCTCTGTGCTGCGCACGAGATCTCGCGCCTTGACGGCTGCTGCCTCGGTCTATGCTGTGTTCAAGAAACTGGTACTAGAATAGTAATAATGTCTTCAATAAGAATAGTACATATTAATACATATTAATATCAATAAAAGATGCAAACAAATTCAAACCCCATCGAACGTTTTTTCTGAGTGCTTGTTGGCAACCGGCATGGATTTCTCGAAGGCGGCTGTTCAGACTCACATTGCTTTTGCGCAGAATCTAAATTTCCAAGTCCCTTCTTCCCATGTAGCACTAGGATCGTGTACGTGCGCTCGCTGCATGACGGAACTCTGTCTGCATATTGCTGGAAACGCTCGCTCCGGCGAGTCCCAGCTGGCAAAACATCGACTTGTGCTTCTGAGCTCTCTGCGGAGTGTACGTGGGATGGGGATCTGAAGTGCCTGGATGATATATGTGATACTCTTCCCTTGTCTCACTATAGGTCATTATAGTCTAGAACCGCCCAAGCCCAATCCGCTGCCGGAATTAGTGTACGGCTTTGCATCATCTGGGGTCTTCTTAAGGAGCTTAGCTTGATCAGTTATCGCCACAGAGGCATACGTCGGATTAACATGCCTTTTGCACAATGGAACTTAACTCCTTCAGAGCTAGAAGCCCAGTGCTTAGTATCTGCACTTCCTGCCCCGAGTTTCCATCACCCATCAAAAAGGCGTCAGGGTGCAAGGGCGAAACTTACGTTCTTTCCTTCTCGTTTAGGAGGTAGGACCTCTCTTCTCGGCTCAGTTTTTGCCATACTTGGTCGGGGTGTCGTGTTTCAACCCGAAAAAGCTTGATGTCGGGACTGTTGTCTCCCTCCTCCCGTTTATGTGGTAAAGTCTGCCACTTTGATCTGAATGTGTAGTTAATAGAATTTGAGGAACGTGCCATGCCTCACTTGAGGGTTGCTCGGGTTCTCCTGGCTACACCCTAACCCCTAAACTTATGGAAAAAACCATAAACGTCCAGGATTGTCCGAGTGTGAGCGCCGAAACCCTAATCCTCCGCGCGAGGCCCAAGCGGACGTACCACCGGCCAGCTCCTCTCCGCTCTATGCTGCGGTTCGCAGCGGCCATGAGGAAGCCGTGAGTCGGCTGCTATCAGGCTGGGTTCAGGGGTTTTGGGTATTTAGGGTTCCTTTAAAGGGATCTACATGGGTTCTATAAGGTTATTAAGGGGATCTATAAGGGTACTATAGGGTTTTAGGTTTAGAAGAAGGTGTGAAAAGGGTGGGTCTCGGGTTTTGTTCCGGGCGAGGGAGCCTGCCGCAAAAAAGGGTGGGACAAGGAGCCCTGTTGCAAAGCAAGTGTGGTGTAAAGAGAACTCAGTGCGAGGTTCACGGATCCATATGCAAGAGCTTCTATCCGGGAAATCCTCCACGCACCCTCATCCTGCCTTGGAGACTTTCGGCGCTCTCGTGTTGCGATGGGCTTTTGTATTGCCACCAAGTATACAAGATGATGATCATATTTCCGAGTCACATGTAGCCCTCAGGAAATTCGCATCTCAGACACAAGCCCTCGGAAGGCAATGCCAATCCCAACCACTCCGTGTCTATTCGGGGTCCGTCGCCGATGCGGGCCGCTGTGCTCAATGGCCACACTGAGGCCCGGGTCCTGGGCTGACTGAGTTGGGCTTCGAGGTTTGCAGGTTGTGTGTGGCAGGCCATTGCCGGAGTGGGACTTTCCGAAAATTAGGGGTGCCTTCTTTTGGGGTCCTTATAAGAAGGATCCTACTATTTAGGGGTACTATATTAGGTCCCCTATTTCGGAAACCGCCAAGTGTTCGTCTCATGAGATCCAGGATGGGAGGGCCATGCTGGATGTTACTTGACATCCTCAAGCCTGAGTCTTCCATGTTTGCGTTCTGCAGACGCCAGGACTGAGACTTCCCCCAAATAAACGAGACTAGACGAGACCAAGCGCCAAGGTTCGCAGGTTTTTGAAGTTGGAAGAGTCAAAAAGTTTGAAGTTGGAAGGTTGCAGTATCCATTTTATGGGGTGCTGGAAAGTTGGATGCGCATTTTTCAACTTTGCGGTGGCAATGGTAGTGTATGAAAGCACCCCTCGTTAGCGCACACGTGTGGTCTTTCGTGAGTCATTTCTCGCTACTACATGCTCATCGTCCTGCGTTACGTAATTACCTGCTATACGACACACAGATGTCACACGTTCTTAATCGTGGTCTAGTGCCGTCCTTAGGTGCGAATGCATCAGACACTGCGTCAGACACGCATAGATGCTACTTAATTGGTTTTTTGCACTTGACCCAAAATCCTGGCTTTTGGGAGGTGATGGGGCGATTGATCTCCGGCGGGGCAACAGTGAATCCGGACGATGCCTGGGGGCTCGAGCTTAGGGTTTGAGGGTCTGGGTGAAGGCTGCTCGAAAACCCGGGCAGGTTTCCAACAGTAGAGGCCATTTCTCTGCCAAGAAGCCCTGCAGGAAATCCCCATTTGGGCAGTTCTCTAATTTAGAGTCCTTTTAGGGCCCTTTTAATGTAAATTATATTCTTGGACCGAAAAAGGGGCCCTAAATTAAAGAACTACCAATAGGAAGTGCCCAAGATCTGGTATCAACAGCCGGAGTCCGACCTGCGAAAGGAGGTCGCAGCTTCAAGATTAGGGTTTAGGGTGAACAAGGATCCTGATTCCGACGCCTTAGAGTTTCCACAGAGTTTAATAGCATTTCATCAAGTTGAATATAGTGTCACTTAGTTGAGTACATAGCTTTGAATAGGTTAATAGAATGTCACAGAGTTAAAGGCAGTTTATCAGAATGTGACAACTAATTATAGACCCTAAACCCTAAACCCCTAAACCCTAAACCTTATAAACCCTATAAGCCCCTAAACCCTAAACCCTTTTTCCCTAAACCCTAAACCCTATAAACCCTTTTTCCCTATAAACCCTATAAACCCTAAACCCTAAACCGATATCGTTTAGCCTCTTCCGAGGTTTGGGCCGCTGTTTTGCTTGGAAATCTCCGTGGAGCCCGGCGCCTGGCGAAGGCTTTGGGTGGGCTTCAGCTTTAGGGCTTAGGGTTTAGGGCTTATAAGGCTTAGGGTTTGGGGCTTTTAGGGTTTAGGGCTAAGGTTTAGGGTTCAGGGTGTTATGGTTTTAGGGCTTGGGGCTTAGGGTTTAGGGCTTATAAGGCTTTAGGGCTTATAAGGTTTAGGGCTTAGGGTTTTTAGGGCTTATAAGGTTTAGGGTTTAGGGTTTTAGGGCTTGGGGCTTAGGGTTTAGGGTTTAGGGCTTAGGGCTTAGGGTTTAGGGCTTCTACGTTTTTGGCTCAAGCTATTTTGGCTCAAGCCGTTATGGTTACGAGGCCCAAATTGGGCATGCCCTTGCATTGAATTCACACTGTGGCTCGGAAAGCACTTCCATGGATGCTCGGTCGACAAAGCTGCTATCATGTTTTGGGTTCGCAGAGCGAAATGCCAAGAGACTGGGAAAAGACTCTGCCAGTCAGTTCATTAAGATGGCGCGTCTTGCTCTCTTGCAGATGGATGAACAGTCGCAACCAAAGAACACATCAAGGCAGATAATCCACCTGGACATTTGTTTGCCAGTAGCGCGTGCTAGAACTGATCAATGCGTGGATGTGGATTGCCAGACTTGCGAGGAGGTATTGACACGAACCCAGTTTGAGGCCATAATGAAAGCTACGGGTGACAAATTCGTGTCAACATTGGAGAACATGCAAAAACTCCTTGGCCAACATGCGGACACCATTGTCGGTTTGCGTCGGAAACTTGATCAACAGGATGCTCGGGAAAAACTAGACACTAAACTCAGCTGTCTTCTTCATGGTGAGGGCGATGCCAGTCTGCGTCCACAGCAGGGAGCTGCTTACTCTCACGTATTTCCACCAGCTTCGGATGAGGATAAAGTTCCACCTTCGAGTCATTTGCAATTCCTTAAGGAAGGCCACGTGGAGATGAAAAGGCAAATGAGATTGCGGCGGCGTCAGCATCATCTAAGTCAGTTGTCGGCTGAGCAGTTGCGCACTCGTGAGGACCGTCTCAACCGCTTTCCGGCAGAGCAGCAAAAACCAAGTGAGAGAAAATAATGCATGTTGTATTTTCGTCTTGACGAAACAGATGCTCGTAGCTGCATACCCCAGCATGTACAGTCTTTCCAGCTGGGAAGTCCCTGCCCTCGAGCGTCTTGCCGGCATACAATCCAAGCCCGTGCTCAAAAAGGGTTTAGGTTCAAGACTCGAAATCGAAGTGGTCGTTGCATGTATTATTCAGCAACCATCCACGCAAACTGAGCATGTAGTGCAAGTCAGGGCTTGAGGTTAGGGCTCATGAGATGTATCGTATGGTGATTTTACTGAACTGCAAGCTGGTGCTTCCTTTTAGAATCGAGCGTACCACCCTGCGAAGCGCGTCCGTCCGAGCCGGCGGGAGGAAAAACGGTGGAGAGTCTAGAATCCTGTCCTTGCGGACACGAAATTTCAAGACGCCAAGTCTCTCGTCCGAATCTTAAGAGATTGAAGTGTAAATGGCAGGCTACGGGTTATTCCTGGGCTTTGCTCCGGCGTGGATGCTGGCTGCTGGCAGGCCGCGCAGGGATAGAGGGGCCTTACTTACTTGTAACAGTTAGCATGGATGTGCTTCGTTTTTGAAGTACCTTCATTAGACGACCTGTATATGTAGGTAGCCCCGCATGAATATCGGTAGTTACGTAGCCCCCTTAGAGTAGGGCTCTGATACAGAGGCCGGCACCTCTAAGGGCCCTCGGGCCAAGAGAGGTCAGAAAGGTTGTGCTGAGTGCATCCCAAAGCTCCTTCTGCGGCTGCTATGAGTCTTAAATCCTGAAGAGCAGCATGCTCAGGTCATCTCTTTTCAATGCTGACGATCCGAACAGAAACCTTAGACCTGTCTCGCCTGGAATTGTTTCAGAGTCGTTGAAACCCTCAACCCGAGCTACACCCAAGACCCATTCCGTTTCACAGGCTTGCTCGGCACGTGTGCTGCAACATACGCCCTCTCCGGGGCACTTCTTCAGCGAGCCGTGGCAGAACTTCTCCTTTTGGAGGGTCTGCCGCAGCACATTGCAGAGTAGGTTTGTAAGCCATAACCAACGGCAAACTTAGCCAAATCGCATTCCTCAGACTTAGTGCAAGGCTCCGATCCCCGACCCTCAATTATCTCAAAGAGTGCAGGGGTCTTGCCTCCGTAGCCCATTCGACTCCGGGTTTGAAGCACTTTATGCCCCCCTTCTTCGCCGAGAGAGTGCTCTCTTGGAATGAGGCTTCGTGTGAGTTAGCCCCCCTACGCCCCAGAAAGGCAGAAGCACTCAAGGCCTGTGAAAATACACGAAGCCCGCATGCTGCCTTCAAACATGTCAGGGGCCGAAAAACGGCCTGTTGCTCAATGCGACTGTTTCCCTGTGAAGTTCCTTTTTCCAAAGCAGCTACCTTCCGAGACCAGCTTGGGTGCGGACCCGTATCTGGCGAAAGTTAAGATGGCCCATCCGGACCATGTCGGTTTAGGTGTATGTGGATCCACTTTGTTTCGTTCTCTGTATTTGTTGATCTGCCTCTCTCTTGCTCTCTCTCGCCTTCTCTCTTGCAGACTCGCTCTCTCCCTGCTTCCCTCCCCTCCCCTCCCCTCCCTAGTTCAGGTAGCCCCATACAACTATACTACGACAGAACGACGGTCTTAAATGGATGGTTCTTCTATGCTTGCGTTCGTGGGTTCGTCTTGCAATCTGTTGCTTCGGACATCATTGCAAGCCTGAGTCAGCAGACGTGGTTGCGTGTGTTTGCACGGTGCCCTAATGCACACAGCATGTGGTATGTTACATATGTATGCATGTGACCGATGCTTTGTGTGAGAGTGTGCACACATGGCATGCATCGAGAAGTGTACATGTACTTCTTGCTCGCACACAGATAACGGCAGCTGCGATGGAGACCGCTGGTTAGATCCTGTTTCCCCAAGATAGGAGCAAGAAGCCGTGTATGGATACACCGGAGCTACGCAGGCATGATGGAAAAAAGACTACGCCAGCCTGTCGGTGTTTGCAGGAATACTGTGATTCTCCAGCTTTCAGCAAACGTCAACACCGTCGACGATGGCTTGTCCAGCTCCTAGGAAGAACGCTGACGATGGTTGCCTTGCCTTCTTCCCATTACACAGTCAGGAGTACCATGTTGAGCGCAGTCGTTCTCATTTTCGTCCCTGCGCAGAAGGTATGACCGCACGGAAGCATGATTTCGGTAGGTAGAGCTGCACAGAATCTTTAGCACCTTGAGATGAGACGCTCTTTGGGCCTTTCGTCTGCTTTCGGCGGCCGAGCTCACGGCCTGCAGCCGTTCACTTGGCATGGCATCGTGCGCACAGCGGAGCCTTCGGAGATGGGCTACGAGCGGTTGCTCTTGCCTGGCACCTTGGATGCCCCGACGCGCCGATCCTTGCGCTCGTTGGCTGCAGCGGCTGGGCTGCGCTACGAGACCTTCGGGCCCAAAGCCTGCCGCCGTGTTCTGCTGGCCCTACAGGCCGAGTGCAGCTGCTGCGTGAACGCGCTCTCCTACCAAGCAACCGACTCCCTCTCGACAGCGCAGCTCCGGGAAGCGCTCCAGAAAGTCTTCAGCTTCAGCCCTTTGTCGGACGACGACATAACGTGAACAGCCGCTGCTGCTCTGCAGCTGTGGCCTCGTTAAACGAGCTCGCCTTTGCAAGAGGCATCGCGGAGATCAGAGCCGCACGGAGAAAAGCCACAATTGGCCTTTGCGCACGAAGGGCGGCAGTTGGCACTCAGCACTATATCATCCAAGCAACGTGGCCATGCTGTCGTCCCGCTGAGGTGTTTCGATGACGACCTGCGAGAAGTCGCATCGATGGTCCTGGGCAGTCTACTTGCAGCCTGACCGAGAATTATAGACCACATAGGACGGGTTGCATGTGGGGCACCGTGACAATCCCAAGTTTGACCTCAAGCACGCCGAGCATTCGAATCCTCAACCTTGTTTCGGAATCGTAGCTTTCTGGCTTTGTAAGGTGACGGGCTTAGATCAACTGGCGGGATGGTGGTAGCCGGTCATGGGCAGATTCAGTGGCTTAGAATTTTCGGGGGCTGCTTTAGTGCATTTTACCGCCGCAACGCTCCTGGAACGTCCTTATACTTACACTGGCCTCAGACTTCGGTCGGATCTGCTTCAAACTTTCGAGACACTTTCGTTCTTGAGCCTTTGGGCTCCTCCCGAGGCTGTCGCAGATGCCACGAGCAGGCCCGATGCTACATGGTAGACGGAAAGTGGGCGGAAGATCCTTGCAGTAGGAAGACCGGCTGCCCGGAGTAGGAGTACTGAAGTGCTTGTTGACGAAGAACTTGGCGTCCGAAGTGTTCGAAGTTTCTCTTTACAGGGGTCGGAGTACAAAGCGATTCTGGTATCAGCCTCACTGCAATCTGGAGTCGGATCTTGCGGCGCTTCGCGTGTAACTGGTGGCTAGGCTCCTGGGGCGTTCTGTTTCGTGAATCCTGACTGATCTAGAGGCCCCCAGAAACTCGAAGCGTTGCCAGATGCAGTCGCAGGGTGTCGAGAAAGTATAGCATTTGGAAGAATGGCGGCAACTACACAACATGTGCAGTACAGTCTTGGTTGAGTATGGGTTTGCTCACGCCGATTCGGGGCCAAGCTGCATGGACCCTGTGATGCCTTCGGTTTCAAGAAGTAAGGTCGCCACCATTGGCACGCCTCGTTCTCGGTGGGCGCGCGCGCCGTGTGTTAGCCTTTGAGCGTGGCAGGTGTGCTGCCGGGCTTGATAGCTTTCAGCTGCGATCTCAGTTCGAAGACCTCAGTTGCCGCACACGTTTCGTGGCACTGCCTGTGGCCCCTAGGTGCAGGGGTGAGTGCCTTTGAGAAGTCAGCGACCTGGATCCCAGCCGGACGGCGTCCTGGGTCGCATGAGGTTGTTGCATATATCCTATGTGACTGCGATCATACACCCAGGATTCAGAACCATTCAGGAGGGGGGCTCTTGCCAGAATGTGCCAGATGCGAGATCATGACACAGCCCGAGACCGCGCATGCTAGAGAGAGAAGCGTGAGGAGAGACAAGTGTTCCCTCTGAGGCGTGGAAACTGGGAGGGTGCTACGGGCTTGCTGCCCTGGCCTTGTTTCATGTCAGCCGGCAGGCTGCTTTTCAATTCGTTGCCATGCGCAATGGCTTTGAGACTGGCGAGGTCGGAGATGGCTAGCCAGACTGTGCAGCCTAGTGCTTCAGCCTCAGATTCTTGCAGTGCTTCGGTAATTCACTGAGCCTCAGCTCAGCGTGTGCATATCGTTTGGTATAGAATTATAGAAGTATAGAAGCCCTACGGAATTAGTAGAGCTATTCCTTGGGGCGTCTTTATCGTTATACCTATACCGTTATTTGTTGCGGCACCTATACTGGAGTACCATGAAGATCCCAAGCAGCGAGCGCGAGGTTACGACCATGAACGCAGCAGCGGCCGCTTGTGTCCGACCCTTTGCACCGAGTCACTTCAATTCGGGTCGCCTGGAATCGCGCCTGTTTTGTGCGAGCCTGCGAGTCAACAGAAACGACCCTAATCCCGATAATCTCAAACGCGATCCTGAAAGCCTAAACGGCCCGAATCCCTAAAGATCCGAAACCAGCCAAAAATTCGTGAAACCCCCAAGGATAAGAAATCACAAAAAATCCTCAAAAAAAAACGGGCCCCAGTCCCCCAAAACTCGCAAGGAGAAGAAGAGCTCTTGGCAGCCGGCCTTGGCCTTGCTTCCGGACCTCAAAGCCAGGCCTTGCAACTTGCATCCAGGGTCCTCTGCTTTGGGTTTTTTGGGGTTTCGGGTTTAGGCTTTTTTTGGGCTTAAGGTTTACAGCTGTTTTAGGATTTAGGGGGGTGGGTTTAGGAGTGCAGAAGGAAAGGGAGAAGGGACAACTGTCGGACAACTGAGCCGTGGAGCGCTTTTTTGGCGGGTGACAGTCTTGGCTTGGGGCCTGGCGTGTACGAGTTTAGAGGTTAGGCACTTGGTTTTCTGGGGGTTGACCATGAAACAAGGTACCTCCTCTTCTTAAGAAGCTCCTTGATCTCTTCGTAAAGCAGAAGATGACTTTGCATGCCACTCCGCAGTTCTCGCTGTTTCTCCGGGACTGGTTTACATGCAGAGAAAACGCTTGAGTCAATTGAGTTGCAGGTAGTAGCTGTTATAAAGGCAATATAGATGTCAGGTCAACGTCAGTGTGTGTGAGTGTGTGTGGCCGTGCAGATGTCCATGCAGTTCTTACTTACGACTCAGTACTCAGTCAGTGCACTGTCGTGATTTTGTGCGCTCCTCTACTGTCAGTTCTGAACCGTCGTTGCAGCGATTGCACCAGAATGCCTACCGTCACGCACGCCCTGTAGGATCAGGCAAGAACTGATTCACACTGCTGCCTTGCAGCGGATATATCAGGGAGCCGTAGAAGCTGCCGCCAGGTCATTGCAAGTGGCAAGGGCCCCGGTGAATCGATTCTACACCTCGAGGGTTCGGAGGTGCGGGTAGTACCATAGGATGTAGATTCCGATTTATCAACACCATCGTCCTTAGAACAGAGACTTTGGCAAACAATACTTCTTTTGCTCGGCAACTGTATAACCGTTTTATGACCTTCGTTAGGCCGCGCAGCGATCTTCCTGTGAGTTCTGGTTGCAACCACATCTTGGCCAAGTGATCCTAGACCTCCCTGTTATCATTTTTACTACTACGATTGTTAATATTACTATTAATATTACTATTATTATCATTACTATTATTATTATTATCCACCCTGTTAACGCCCATGCTCAGGATTTAATCTCGGTCAATGCAGCCTTTGGCGCATGCGAGCGCTCCGCTCAACACCAACCCCTGCAGGCGGATTCGGGTTGAGGAGGGCATCTCAACAGCTTGGCGCATCGAACACAGCGACGATTCCTACGGTGTAATGAAGTTTTGTGCTCGAACTGCTGGTAGGTCGTTGTGACAAGATGGTCTGCCGCCATGCCCCTCAATGCAACCCTCAAAAAGAATGGTAGGGCGGCGCTGACATCGACTAGGCAGCCTCAAAGGGAAAGGCTCAGCAAGTGTTTTAAAGGCATCCAACAGCCCCTTTGAGCGTCCAAATCCCAAAGCTTGTAGCACTTCCAATGCCCTTGTCTGAGTTCTGCACAGGCCCGGAACCTTTCCGTCATAACAGCTGCCTGCAAACAAAACTTTGAGCTAAGAACTGCAGCCCCAACATCTTGTAATCTCGAGTGAGCCCAGCACCTAAATTGGCCCTTAAACCTCATAAACCATAAACCCCTCGTCTGACTTTCATCGTGAAGCCGTGCCTGCCGAGCGAGTGTGCGAGTTGAAACCTCAATCCAAAACCCTAGATGCGGGTGACACAAAAGCCCAAACCCTGCAACCGTTCACCGCAAGGACCTCGCGACTCAGATTGCCAGCCTTCTCGGTGAGCTTACTCGCCCGCTCGAACCGACTGACGGTCGCAGAAGAAATGCCCTGACATGCCGAATCACAATAATCAGTGGTACCATCCATTCCTAGTGTTAAAACGCTTACAGTACTAACTATTAGCATTACTAGGAACAGTTTTAAAGTATGTACAGGATTGACGGCGTTCTGATCTTTTGCTAGCTGGGTATGGCGGCTAGCCGCGACTGGCGACACCTAACAGTGCAGCAATCTTGGCCCTAGGCTTGCGACACACGGCTTGGCTCGGTTCTGACAAAGCCTTTGCTCGCTGCTTCGGCTGGAAATAGTTTCTCAGCTGAGGCTTTTGTCCAACACAATGTGGAAGGAGAGACATCTCTGATCATCGCTGCAGCAAACAAGCATGCACCGGCACTTTTCGCGATGCAGATGGGGTGGGTGCGATTGCTAGAAAGATGTGGTGCAGGAATGGATGTCGCTGAAGAGGAGGATTAGTCGCCTCGTGTACTGCTCCATGCAATTAGTTCCAGTGCCGCTCAACGTCTTGCAGAGCTGACCACTCCTCCATCGACGCTAGAGTAACTTTTGCGGCCAATGGCGCCTGTGCTGCAGAACGGCAGGCGCTCATCGATCGCGCATGGCTGTTTCTATGCTTGCTGGTGCAGGTGCCAACCAGTGTTTGAGGATCACATTTTGTGAAGATGTCGTCAGGCTTGCGGGCAGGGAGGAACTCACACTCTAGATCAGTTTGCAAGCTCAAATCTCTGGCAGGCTGGCTGCTGCCTCCCTTGTGGTCCCGATGTGGTTATATTATAGCATACCCTCAATCCCCATGTCCTGCTGGATTTGGCCCAAGCCAATACGCAGAGTGTGTTTCTCCATCGCTTGCGAGCAGCTCGGATCAAGACAAGGTACTCTTGGCACACCCTAACCCCCCAGGTACCTACTATATAGGGTACTAGAGCCCCTAGGACCCTATATAGTAGGTACCTGGGGGGTTAGGGACAGGATGGCTACTGACGGTTCTTTGCTCTGCAGCCCTGTGGCTCTACTTTCAGGTGTCCGTTTGTGTCATGGAACGACCAAAGCATCGACTGCAGACCGTGAACACTGCGGGAACTTCCACTCTAGCTGTGATTTCTTCTAGACTCTAGACACACAGCGATCTGGATCCGTGACTTCGCCCAGGTCAGGCCTCTCCGGAC